CCCCCGCCCCCACCACCACCTCCCAGAGTGCTAGGATTACAGGCATGAGCCACCGTGGCTGGCCCAGAAAGCTAATTGATTATTGATGCTGTATAAAAAGAAGAGACATTCTTCATTCAAAACCCACCCCCTACACTGCTTTAGTGACTTTGGGCAAATTCACTCAACTTCTCTGAGCCTTTCTTTCCTCTTTTATGACTTGGGGATTATAAAGCAAGGGATGCAGATGGGATTAAAAAAGGATCAAGCAACCAATAAACCGCGGATTTCAGCCAGTAAAATCAGGGCAGGGACTGGAGAAAGTTTGAGAGGCTCCTAGCTGATTGGGAGGGAAGATGGGAGCAAGCTACGGTGTATGCAAGAGACTCTATGTTAAAACGAAGTGAATTCCTGTGAACATCCAGGCCACTATGAATACCTCAGCGAGAGTACTTTTTATAAAATAGGAGTTTTCGTCCAGGGAAGCCCTGGGGAGGTCCAAAACCAGCACCGAAGCTCGACTCACACCCAGTCCGGTTCTTCTCAGTTTGTACCGCCTTTCCCAACTACGTAGTTTGGAGCGGAGCATTCTGGACTTTGTAGTAACAGCTTATTAGAGTTGTTTCTAAGGGCTCACGCAGCCGCGAGAGACTACATTTCCCAAGAGGGACTGAGACTGTTGTTTGCCGGCACCTCCCCGACTTCCGGCGTTGGTGCGATTTCTGGGGCCAATCGGTAGGTCGGAATTGCTTTCCCTGTTCTCTGATTGGTGCATTCGACCAGGGAGCCTGGGTTCAAATTTTCAACGACACTACATGAATCCGGCGGGTTTGCTGGCGTTTCGTTGTCAGCGCAGAGGTGAGGCGAGGCCGGGTGAGCTGTAGGAAAGAAAGTGGGAGCAACTGGGGTGCAGGGCTTCCCCTCTCCCTGATTTTTCAGCGGCTGGAATTAGCTTCACAGCCTCTGTCGTTGTCCGCTCCGCTAGGCCTGGCCTCTGAGGCGGTTGGGCGCCGCCCGGGCCGGGTAGAGCGGGAGCGAGGTTTCCGGCCTCCGTTCTCTTCGTGACAGGATTTTGCCGTGAAAGTCTGTCCGGAAAGTAGGGGAAAGGAGTTTCAGAAGGCTGTCGGCTAATAACGGTAACGGTAATTATTATCGCTGTTATCCTCCTGTCGTGTGGTAAACACTGGACTAAGCCCCCTGCGTGCCCTTTCTCATTTAATTTTCGCACTAAGGCCAGGAAGTAGGTGGTATTCTTGGTCCTCCTTTACAGAGGAGGAAACTGAGTCTCAGAATCGAAGTTTCGGGAAATGGGAAATGGAAGTGTGGCATTTGATGGCGGAAACATATGTAGACGCAGTTACATTTCGAAACTCTTGTCTAAGATAAGAAAGTAAATTAGGTGACGTGAGAACATAATGGAGAGTTTAATTCTACTTGGAATCGTGTTCTGTTTGGGATTTTAAATTCATTCTATGTTGTCCATATTTGTATGCAATCCTAGGTACATTTCCTTCCTTAGAACATTTTAGATTGGAGGGGGAAGGAAGCTTGAACCAGGTTGTAATATTGCAGGATCAGTTTACCCCCATCTTCTTTATGTAGGGTTTTTCTTCACGGACAATTCTCTTTTTCCTATTTTGGCTCCCCTCACCCCGGCCCACTTGAGCCGTCCACCGGCAGCAGGACGCTGAGCAGTCCTGCGGGATCCGCGCAGCCACACCTCCTCCTCCGCCCAGTGAGACCCCAGTGAGACCCCGCACTACCTGCTCCGCGCGTGGCCGGCGTGGGGGCCGCGCGGATCTGGCCCGAGACGCCGCGGTAGGCAGGCCCCGGGCCCGGTTAGAGCTTCACATGCAATTTTCTAGTAGTTCGGTAGCAAGTACTTTGCTAAAATCCCCAAATCAGGCCTGTTTAGGAAGAGGATTTTTGGCTTCCCCGATCTTGCTTTTAAGGTCATCCTTTGGTGTACTCCTTGGACACCCTTACCCTGTCTGGCATCCTCTGTGCTTTCTTTCAATTTCTCTCATCATTTGTTGTCAGAAACAGGGCTGTTCACTGCCTAGTAAAAATCTTCTTCTTTTTTAAAACAGTTTCTCACTCTGTTGCCCCAGGCTAGAATGCAGTGGTATCACAGGTCACAGCAACCTCAAACTCCTAGATTCAGGCAATCCTCTTGCCTCAGCCTCCCAAGTAGCTGGAAGTACATGCGTGTTGATGCCCAGCTAATTTCCCTATTTTAGTAGAAAGGGGATCTCGTTCTTGCTCAGGTTGATCTTGAATTCTTGAGCTCAAGCAAGCTTCCCAGAGTGCTGGGATTTTTTTTTTTTTTTTTGAGACGGAGCCTCAAGCTATCGCCCTGGGCAGAGTGCCATGGCATCATGCTCACAACAACCTCCAACTCCTGGGCTCAAGCGAGTCTCCTGCCTCAGCCTCCCAAGTAGCTGGGACTACAGGCGCCTGCCACAACACCTGGCCGTTTTTTGGTTGCAGCCGTCATTGTTGTTTGGCGGGCCCGGGCTGGGGATTCGAACCCGCCACCTTAGGTGTATGTGGCTGGCGCCTTAGCCACTTGAGCCACAGGCGCCGAGCCCAGAGTGCTGGGATTATAGGTGTGAGCCACTGTATCCAACCATAGTAAAAATATTCTTGTGTTGTGGTTTCAGTGTATTACACCTCCTGTCAAGCTACCCCCAAATTATACTTGAATACTCTTGGTTGGTTTGGGTGTGTCAGTTCAGTGTTAAGCTGGCCCTCTTGGATCAAAATTATGTGGCTTCCAGCTAACTTAGCCAATTGATTATTTTGAGACAGAGTCTCTGTGGCCCAGCTAGATAGAGCTTAGTGGCTTTGTCATAGCTCATTGCAACCCCAAACTCCTGGGCTCAAGCAATCTGCCTCCCAGAGTGCTGGACTTATAGGGATGAGCTACCTCGCCTGGGCCAATTGATTGATCCATTAGGGTGTACAGTGTGTTCAGATCAGTGTTAGATATTGTGGGTATACAGATGTGTGATATATTTGAGGGTTTTCAGAAATGGTTAGGGACAAAAAGATTGTCTCAGATTGACAAATAACAATCAGAATAACACGAGACAGCATATGTGTGCTTCTGTTTTGCACTGTAAGTGACCTGGCAATTTAGAGATAACGGAGATCAAGAGCCAGTTTTGGGTCCACCTGCCTCACAAAGCCATCCTTGGCACACAGGCTTTTTTTTTGAGACAGAGTCTCACTTTGTCACCCTTGGTAGAGTGCTGTGGCGTCACAGCTCACAGCAACCTCAAACTCTTGGCCTCCAGCAATTCTCTTAGCCTCTCAAGTAGCTGGGACTATAGGCACCCACCACAACACCGGCTATTTTTAGGGAGGAGGTCTCACTCTGGCTCAGGCTGATGTTGAACCCCTGAGCTCAGGCAATCCACCCACCTTGGCCTCCCAGAGTGCCAGGATTACAAGCATGAGCCACTAAGCCTGCCCTGGCACACTGGCTCTTGATAAGCAAACTTGAGTTAGACTGGGACTAGAACTGTCCTGATGCCCAAGAATTGCTCACTAAATATTTGTGGAATTGGCTAGGCAGGAGGGCACTATATAAATTTTGACTACAAAATCATTTTCAGGTATGAAAAGCTGTATCATATTCAACTAGGTTGGTACATTTGTTAAAACTTTCAAATTATTTAAGTAAAATAGTTATTTTGCCAGCCTTATGCCTAAATCTGTATATTATAACCTTGATACAATTAATTTATCCTTCAGCTGCAATTAAGCTTGTCCAGGATTATGTCCATTTATTTCTTGTTTAGGTACCAGGAAATGTTCAGATTTCTTCTGTATCCCCTTTTTTCCTTCAGCCTTTCCTGGGTCTCTTCCCTAATTCTTTTTAAATTCCTAGGGAAGAAAGGAGGAGGAGAGATTTAAGTGCCCTTTGACAAACTTAAATTTTTCTTTGCTGTGGGTAAATTTAAGAAGACTATTGGGAGATTGAATAGCCCAAGAAATTCTGTGAATAGATCTGTTGTTTTTGATTGTTTGCTTGAGACAGTCTCACTATGTCTCCCTGGGTAGAGTGCTGTGACATCACAGCTCATAGCAACCTCAAACTCTTGGGCCTAAGCGATTCTCCTGCCTCTGCTTCCCAAGTAGCTGGGACTTATAGGCACCTGCCACAATACCCAGCCATTTTTTGGTTGTAGTTGTCACTGTTGTTGACAGGCCTGGGCTGGATTTGAACCTGCCAGCTCCAATGTATGTGGCTGGCGCCCTAGCTGCTGAACTACAGGCACCGAGCCAATAGATCTGTTTTTGAGACAGACATAGAGATCTGCAGCCCAAGCTTCTTTGTGGAAAAAAAAAAAAAAATAACTGAGGAAGGGTTCTGTACTTGTTTGTTTGCATAGGGAAACCTGCATAGGTAAAAGGGAAAGAAACTAAAGATTAGTAAGAAAAGTGTAAAATTCTATCTAGAAGGTTAGAAGGTTTCTTTGGAAATTAAAAAGTAATGTTATTTGTACTTTTGTTTTATAAAAGAAAGTAGTAATAGTTTGTCCATATTTTAGGTAAACCTATTTATCATGATGTTTGAATAGTATAAAAGTACATACTACCACTCCTTGGTGTCAGAGTTGCTAAGTTGCAACCTTTGAAAACATTGAAAATGGGGGTGGCGCCTGTGGCTCAAAGGAGTAGCGTGCAGGCCCCGCATGCTGGAGGTGGCGGGTTCAAACCCAGCCCTGGTCAAAAACTGTAAAAAAACCCCAAAACAAAACAAAAGGAAACATTGAAAATGGGAGTATGTAAATTAAAGATATCAAGAGACAGCAAATGTACACTGAACATACACTGTTTAGAAGTTTGGCCTGTTGTGAGATCCATGCTATTTAGCTCTCAGAAGTATCCTTTAGTTTTGAGTGTATATCCTTGGTCTTTTATGGCCTCTTTCTATTCTGGTAACCTTTCTACTACAGAGAACTTGAACCTGTTTCAACACCTTTTTGCTTCTTGCAGATTCTTGATAAGTATTTGCCAGACTTTAAGATTTCAGAAAAGAGGTGAAAGAGTATATTGCAACTTTGAGGCAAGCAAGTGGACTAACAAATTAAACAACAGGTAAGGCAGAGTCACGGTGAGTTACACTGAAAATGGAGTATGAGGAACATTAGGCTCGGTGCCTGTGGCTCAAGTGCCTAAGGCTCCAGCCACATACACCTGAGATGGCGGGTTCGAATCCAGCCTGAGCCCGCCAAACAACAATGACAGCTGCAACCAAAAAATAGCTGGGCGTTGTGGCGGGCCCCTATAGTCCTAGCTACTTGGGAGGCAGAGGCAGGAGAATCTCTTGAGCCCAGGAGTTGGAAGTTGCTGTGAGCCGTGATGCCACGGCATTCTACCCAGGGCAATAGCTTGAGGCTCTGTCTCAAAAAAAAAAAAAAAAAAGGAACATTAATATATCAGCTTCATAAGTATTTAATGTATGAAGTAATTTATCAAGTAATATACATTTTGGAGGGACATTTACTATGGAAAAGCAAAAAGAAAATAAAGTCACTGATGATACCATCTCTTTTATATACTGTGGTTAACCTTTTAATAGATTTTTTTTAAACTGTAATTATTATTTATTTATTATTTTTTTTTTTATGAATTTTGAGACAGGGTCTCAAGCTGTTCCCCTGGGTAGAGTGCTGTGGCATCATAGCTCACAGCAGCTCTTGGACTTAAGTGAATCTCTTGCCTTAGCCTTCCAAGTAGCTGGGACTATAGGCACCCACCATAACACCTAGTTATTTTTATTTTTATTTTTTTTGTTGCAGTTGTCATTGTTTTAGCTGGCCCAGGCCCGGTTCAAACCTGCCAGCCTTGGTGTAAGTGGCCAGTTCCCTACCCATTTAGCTATGGGCGCCACCTAATAGATTTCTTTACAGTTTTTTCTAGTTATCACTTGGTATCCATGGGTGATTGGTTCTAGGACTTTCCTCAGATACTAAAATTTGAGGATGCTCAAGTCCCTGATATAAAATGATTTCTCATATATTTATACAACCTATGTACATACTAATATATTTAAAATCATCTCTATAGTGCTCATAATACCTGATGCAATGTAAATGCTCTATAAATAGTTGTTATACTATATTGTTCAGGGAGTAATGGCAAGAAAAAAGTATTCATGTTTCAGTGCAGACAGTTTTTAAAATTTTTAATCTGAGATTGGTTGAATTCATGGATGAGGAACCCAGAGATAGGGATGGCCAACTGTATTTTGTTTAAAACAGACTATAGCCAGGAGCAGTGGCTCATGCCTATAATCCCCACTCTGGGAGGCTGAGACAGGCGGATTGCTTGAGGTCAGGAGTCTGAGACGAGCCTGAACAAGAGTAAAACCCTATCTCTACTAAAAGTAAAAAAAAAAAAACCTACCACTATGGTGGGCACCTGCAGTCCCAGCTACTCTGGAGGCTGAGGCAAGAGGATTGCTTGAGCCCGAGAGTTTGAGGTTGCTGTGAGCTGTGATGCCATGGCCTACTACCCAGAGTAACAACTGAGATTTTCTCAAAAAAAAAAACCCAAAAAATCCGGTTATGACTATTTTCCCATGTCATTAAATATTTCTAGAACATAGTTTTATTTTTTATTTTTTAGAGACAGAGTCTGATTTTGTCACCCTTGGTAGAGTGCTGTGGCATCACAGCTCACAGCAACTTCCAGCTCTTGGGCTTAGGCGATTCTCTTGCTTCAGCCTCCCGAGTAGCTGGGACTATAGGCACCTGCCATGATGCCTGTCTACTTTTATTTTTTGTTATTGCAGTTTGGCTGAGGCTAGGTTCGAACCCTCAGTATTTGGGGCTGGCGCCCTACTCACTGAGCCACAGGCGCCGCCCGAACATAATTTTATTTTGTACGGCTATGTGGTATTCTATTATATGGTTCTTTCAATGAAATTGCTGGTTAAAAAAAAAAAAAAGAAATAAATTGCTGGTAAAAAAGAATGCATATTTTGAAGACTTGCTACATAATACCAAATTACCTTATAGGAAGATAATGCTAATTTATATACTCACTATAACAGTAGATGTTCACATAGGCACAAATACAGTATATATTCTTAAAATAGATAATATATTTCATGGTGCAAAAATTAATATAAAAAGGTAAGTATAGTTAAGAAAATATGTTCCTCCAATCCTGTCATTTTCATCTTCACTCCCCACCACTCCATAGGTAAACACTTTAATTGGGTTCTTGGGTTTGTGTGTGTGTGTACGTATATTTCTTAAATCAGATATATTTTGAACAGTATAAATCACTGTAAGACTGATTGGGATTTGAAAAGGATTGTAACCTCCTGCAGACTCACTCTGAACCCTTTTTTTTTTCTTTTTTTTGAGACAGAGCCTCAAGCTGTCCCCCTGGGTAGAGTGCCATGGCATTACAGCTCACAGCAACCTCTAACTCCTGGGCTCAAGCGAGTCTCCTGCCTCCGTCTCCCAAGTAGCTGGGACCACAGGCGCCTGCCACAACGCCTGGCTATATATTTTTTTTTTTGGTTGCAGCTGTCATTGTTGTTTGGCGGGTCCAGGCTGGATTCAAACCTGCCACCTTAGGTGTGTGTGGCTGGCGCCTTAACCGGTTGAGCTATAGGGGCCGAGCCAACATTACTGATTTCTACTCAGGTTCTATTAGTTGCTTAGGAATGGATTATGGTTTGTTGTGTTCCGTGGATAAATTAAGGCAGAACTAATATTGTAATCCTTAAAAATGGGTGATTTGAAACTTAAACATTTGGGAGTGAAATGAGTGAAATTTCTTTGCCTGAGGTTTCTGGACAGTGATGAATTTGAACTAGTGTCCATGTGTCCTGTGCTGACTTCTGAGTGTTTGGACAGTGAGGGATTGTCATTGGATTTTAAATTGACCCAAATTTGGAAGCTTCATAGATCTGTTTCTGTAAACAGATCCAATTTCAACGTAGAAGTTAGTTAGCAAACATAAACATGGAAACACAAAGTCCATTAAACTTCCTTTCAGGCTTACTTTGTGACTTTGATTAACAGTTAAAATTGCAGTTTGGATTAATGTTGCCATTTACTGATTCCTGCTAATCCCTTATATTTAAGAAAAAAATATATAGGTGTTTTCTCTGGGTAAGATGAAAATAAACTCCATTCTATTTTACTCTTGGTAGTGTAACAAGATCTCTTATTCCTTATGAAAGTAGGAGAGAGTGTCCCTGGAGAAATGGCACTACCTGGGCTGAGACCATCTTAATTAACTATACTATTAATGAAGTCTTGACTTATTGTACTCTGTTTATTCTGTTGCATTACTAATTGTTTAACTCATGGATTTCCCTGTAATAGAAATAGGCAAGGCACATCTCACAACCTGGATAGTGAGTTGCTGGAGAGCATCTATCACATCTTTGTTTTGTTTAGGAGTTGCTAGTCCACTATTTCAGCTCTGCTTAGAATGCACTCTCTTGGAGCTTTCCCCCACCCCCTCTGAACCTGCACCTTTTGATTTATAGAGCTTGTCAAGACTAGTTATTTTTGGTTTGAGTGTGAGGAGAGACAAGAGGCAATGGGAGGTTAATTTCAGATGAATGTGGGAACAGGTTACATTGCTGCTTTTGCAATCTTCCTCATGTGTATTTGTCTTTCTCTTCCATTCTTTACTCCTTTTATTTCCCTTTCTCTTCCCCCAGAAAAAATCAAAACTCATTCTTAGCCCATAGAGCTCTGCATGTCTGTCTGTATCTTTTAGGTATTTCTTCTACCAGGAAGCCTTCTCTGACTCTCCTTCACCCTGTTCTCCTCAGCACTTCCAGAGTATTCTCTGTTTATGCACTGTAACAGCAAGGACCATCCTATATCATAATTGCTTGTATTCCCCATTCAACTGTGAATTCCTTAAGGGGAGTAATTTTGTGTATTTATATTCTTTGAGTCTTTTTTGGAAACAAAAATGGGCTGTATGATATGATAGATGGTGTTTAATAGGCAATTTTAAAAGGAATCTAACTAGTTCATAGCATACGGGATAGGGTGATAGGCTTTTTCCTTGAGTTTGTTGTAGAATTATTGGTCATTAATAGCTATTTCTCTACCCAGAATGGTTCTAGTTTTGCAGAAGTCTGATTCAGATAATTTTGAAATGTGAAGCTGATTCTCTTGCTTGGCAGCTTGATTTGTTTAGGGGAATGTGGTTGACGCATGTGTCCTTTTTTTTTTTTTTCAGTGAGACTTGTTGACAGAAATTCAATCTTGATTAAGGGGTGCAGGAAGGCATCCAGTTCCCACTGTGCTTGGGGCTCTCATTTAAATAGCTGCCTTTGGCTCTGGCCTGTTCTATTTCTCTCTAGGCCCTGTGGACTTTAATTCTTAAAGGTTTCACATTCTAATATTTATTATTTGTAAGGGAGGCAGTGCAGTGAAAGTGTTATGACCCAGTAGTTACTTTTTGTTTTCTTCATGTAGCTATGTTGTCAGCCTTCATCCAAGAGAGTCAGACTTCTCTGTGGATAGGTATATGTTTATCTGTTCCCTTTTTGCGGGGGAGAGGAGATGGTCCTCTGATTTGGCCATTCTAGATCCAAAGTGAGCTTAAAAGTAGCTTTTTAAAAAAGAGGTCATGTTAGAAAAAGAGTATTTTGGTTTTAAAATTTCACCTAAAAAAGATTAGGTATACTTAGATTTGAGCCTGTCCACCTTTTACCCTCCACCAATCAAATGTAGTCCTTGACCTCAAAGGATACCTTTTCTTCTTCAGATGCTTGAAATTCTTCTTCATAATTTCAGAATACCCACTGAAGGGTGGAGCAAAGAAAAATCAAGGGATTCTATTTTGTGTAGAGCAAAGAGAAATCAAGGGATTTTTTTTTTAACTTTAAGGGAAGATTCAGCCCAGAACTTTCCCAGTATATTTGGAATAGGATTTGTAATTTTTTTTTTTTGGAGACAGAGTCTCACTATGTTGCCCTGGGTATAGTGCCGTGATGTCACAGCTCACAGCAACCTCAGACTCTTGGGCTTAAGTGATTCTCTTGCCTCAGTCTGTCAAGTAGCTGAGACTACAGACACCTGCCACAACGCCTGGATATTTTCTTGTTG